GAGATACCTACGTCAGGAAAAAAACAATTATTTTATGAAAAAAGTCAATGAATCCAGCAACAAAAGTAAAACACTGGCATATTATTAAACAGTCATCTAAAATTATTGAAACCAAAAGTATTTCTATAAATCATGATAATAATTTAATTACTGATAAACTAAAAGTCGCAGAAACATTCTGAGAATATTTCTCGAGTATTATAGATAAAAAAATTAAAATTCATTTCAAAGGAGGACATCTAGGGATGGGAACTACAATGCCAAATGTCAACACAACAATGTTTTTGTTACCAGCCATAGGGGTAGACGTAAAAAATATTATGGAATCGCTACCTGATAAAAAAGTACAGGGTATGATGAGGTTCCTATCGAACTTGTCAAAGAAAGTATTAATAATATATGTGAACCGATTGCGCACCTAATAAACTTATGTATTTCTTCTGGAGGCTATCCTGATCTTCTTAAAATCGCACTATTTATTCCGATATTGGAAAGTGGCGATTATATCGCGCAGAATAAATGGCTACCTGGAAAGATTCGACTTGATAATCCAACATGGCTTTCGAAAACATCATTCAACGGAAACAGCAACACTCAAATTGATTCAACAAATCCATGATTCAATCAATGAGAAAAAAGTCGTTGTGGGACTTTTTTTCGACTTAAGTAGAGCTTTCGATACTGTGAGTATTGATATAATTTCTAAAAAACTCTTAAACATTGGTATCAGAGGCAATATCAATAGGCTCATCGTGTCCTTCTCAACTAATCGATATTTCAAAGTGAAACAGAATAAAACATTATCTGACGAGTATTCTGTTACAACAGGAACACCACAGGGTAGTATTCTTGGTCCACTGATATTTTTACTATATGTCAATGATCCTCCTGATAACATAAGTTATGGTAATGTGTACTTTTATGCAGCTGATTAATTGACGTATCATTTGCATAAATATTATCTTATCGAGCAAAATACAGGATGAAATGAATACCCAAGTCAACACTGTACTACAAGAATTCAGTGAGTGGTGGTTTGAAAACCACCAATTAGACTGTTTGTATTAAATTTGCATATTCTCTTCGGAGTCTACACAACTCCATCTTCAGTTTTCTCAACGAACCTCTGAGATCAACAACTTGTACAAAGTTTTTAGGAACAATGATTGATTCCCTTCTCACATGGAGAGAACACATAGAGTTAACATCTAAGAAACTGAACCAATCATATTACCTAATAAAATCACTGAAAAGTAAACTAGATACCAAATCTCTACCAACGGTTTATTATGCAAATTTCACTCCATAGTATGTTGCAACATTGCTGTCTGGGGATTAGCCACTGAAATTGACAGAATATTCGTAAAACAAAAGGCACTGCTACGATTGATTGCTAAAACTCATGACATATATCCATGAAAATAAAAGGCAATTCGACCTACGATCGGAAGTACATGAATATAGTACTAGAAACTCACAACTCGAAAACACCTCTATACAAAATATGAAAAGTCTCCTGTGTTTATTGGAACGAGTATTTATAATAAATTGCCAAACAGTGTAAAGACACTGCCACCAATTGCCTTCAAACAAAAACTGAAGTCATTTTTATCGACAAATTGTGTTTTCACTGAGTTACATATACCCGATGATGAGTGGCCGCCGTATCTAATAGTACATACTATACCTAAATATTTCTAGCGGATTATATTTGACGATTTCGGCTGTTCTTCTCTTGGCATATTTTGGATTGCATTTGCTTTGTTTCGGTTTAGTAGTTTTGATTATAGACTCTGCTTTGTATTTGACATTTGTTTTGTTTTAGTTTGGTTTAAGTATAGGTTTTGTCGGTTTGTTTCATGCTCTCTCTCATTTAATGTACGGAACACAGGATGAAGCGATAGAAGTGCGTTCAGAAATTGTCAGATATGCGGTTAATGAGTAGAACAAGTTTTCAATTATGATCCACGACAGGAATGGTGATAACTACGTAACACCTGACGAATATTTTGCTGATATGATGAAAAATGCTATTTATGGTGGATTTTGTGAGTTAATAGCAGCAGGATTAATATTCCCATTTAAGTTTGAAGTTTATAGAAACGGTCTCATGTATACGAAATCTTGAGAGAGACTTGAGAGAACATTGGTTCTCTCATGGACAGTTTTATGTTGCTTGCTCACGAGTAAGTTCACCCAATAGCTTTAGCTTTAGTTTTAGTGCCTAATGACAGATTAGTTAAGAATATTGCGTACAAAGAAATTTTGTAGGCCCTAATTTTTTACACACGCTAAACAAAAGTAAATCCACAAAAACTATACCTAATTAATAATAATACTTCCTAATGCGAGCGAAGCTGCAGGCAAAAGCTAGTTTAACATATGTTATATTTCCACTCAATCACTTAAGTAATTAGTCATTTAGATCTGGAGTTTCCTCTGAAAAACTGGAAATTGTTTAACTTGTACCCGTTCGTAAGAAGTCTGACGCTCATATTCTAGATGAGCTGCGCCCTCTGCATTTATTTGCAATTATTTCTTTTATTCAACTTGGCTTCCGATCTAAAAAATCCATCAACCGAAGAAAACTCTTCGTACACCTGATCCGATACCCCTTCGTCAATCATTCATCTTCAACGAAAAAGAGGAGCCGAAAAACTTGTCTACGAATCATTCTAAACGTCCTCGCCAGACGGTCTGATACGAGATGTCACAAACGTGATTATTTTAGAAGCCGTGCAAGCAGTTTTTATAAAGATTTAGTGCGGATCAGTAGGCTCGAACAAACGACATATATCGTTATTACTTTGACCAATCCAATTCCGATTTTCAGGCGGCTGACGTTTCATGAATTGAAGGTAATAAAGGACCCTCATCGCATTCGAAAAAAAATGGAATATGAAATTGTCCCCGGATGGGTGAGATGATTTTATTAAATTTGTATTTGTGCCGAAAGGTGCGATGAAATCGCAAAACTCTCGCAGCATTTTTCATTCGATAATCTCGATATTCGTCAATTGAGGTCACCCAGTTGAACTCATGCCGGTCATATGATGATCACGTGACCAGCTCTGAGGATATATTTTGAAGAATGAATCAGGTTAATGGATCACCAGAGATCCTGGCTGAAATTTTTAATTATCCAAACTTCGTCTGAGAGATAGATTTGTTGAGGGTTTCTATTGACCTTCTCTGGGTATGTTTCTGACGACAGCATACTTGTTCCATCATTCCATTTGGATTCCAGAACATCGGCTGTGGATACACGTCTTCACTCCAAACTGAACATAATAATGCCGGGACAGATAATTCCGCTTTTTGCTTCGATAAGTATGTTGGGGGTTAAAATGGACACCAATATGTCTTGGCACAATCATGTCACTGGAATTGCACAGACTGCTTCTCAAAAGCTTGGAAAACTATTCCGAACGAGAAAACTGTACACACCTCAGCAACTTTTGATGCTTTATAAAGCTCAGATCAGTCCTCCTTTGGAGTATTGTTCTCATGTATGGAGCTCTGCCCCTAAGTATAGCCTGGAGCTGCTGGATTCCATCCAGAAAAGAGCAATCCGCCTGATTGGAGACACGAACATCACTTGCAACTTCCTGAGAACGTTTTTCCAAATGAATTCAATTTCCAGCGATTCAAATCCGTGTTAGGAATCACACGTTGAAAGGTACGACCT